ATTACACTGAAGGAGGTGAGTTGATAAGACCTGGCATCACTCGTTTTGCAACATCATATTTGTGTTTGAGTTGCTTGAATGATAAAAGGGGAGGATTGTATAGGATGTTCACCTCCAAGCAATGGAAGGATAGTCAATTTTCCAAGACAAAAGATGGAAAATTGTTGAAAATATAGTCACAAACCAGGACTTTTGGAAGAATTAGATTATTTGCCTTAAGGGTGCTTCCATTACTTAAAGTCTTAAGTGTGGTGGATTCTGATGAGAAGACAACCATGGGCTATATCTATGAAGCAATGGATCAGGAAAATGAGGAAATACAAAGTAGCTACAATAATAAGAGAAAAATGTATAATTTTATAAAATATCTTAGATTGATTGATTTGATATAAAAGGTATATTAGTACTTGTTTATGAACTAGTTTAATCTTTTCTTTCTTAAGCTATCAACCTTTATAGAAAATTATAGATAACAGATGGGACAAATAATTGCAGAAGGCTCTGCATGTTGCAGGCTATTATCTTAATCCAATGTTGCATTACAAACCTAATTTCAAAGCAGATAATGAAGTAAAACAAGGAATGTATGCATGTTTAGAAAGAATGGTGGGAGGAGACATGATATGGTGAACAAAATTGATGGTCAACTTTAGGATTTTAAGAGTAAAAAAGGGTTCTTTGGGAGTGAAATAGCTCAACGTGGACTAAAAAACAAGACACCAACTCAACAGTGGGAATCTTATGGTGATGCACACCCAGAGTTCAAAACTTTGTTATTCGTGTGTTGAGTTTGACATGCAGTTCTTCTGGCTGTGAGAGAAATTAGAGTGCTTTTGAGATGATATGTTTTTAAATTTTCATATATATTTTTCATAGTTACTATATGTTATGCATTTTAATTTAATATTCCCCCTTTTTAGGTTCATACGAAGAAAATAAATCGGTTGAAACAAAAGACTATGAGTGATCTTGTGTATGTGATGGTAAATACAAGATTGACCAAGAATAAGGCTGAAAGGAAAAAGCGAGATCTAACAATAGATGATGACGATTGGTGGCATGTTGCTGAGGAAGAAAATGCAGGTGGTAATCATGTAAATGTGGGTGATTTAGATGAAGATTTGATGCAAAGTACTGGTTCTAAATCAACTACACATGTAGATGAATTTGATGTCCTTGAAACTATAGAAAGTAACAATGAAGAAGGAAATGCAGATGAAGGTGATGGAGGAGATAATGATGATGATGATTATGGTGGAAGAGATGAAGGAGACATTATGGGAGAATCCAAAATATCGGCGCATTTGGATTTGCAATAGCCTACATGATTTTGAGTATTTTATTTTATGGGCTTTGTTATTTTAAGTCAAGATTTGAGATTTTTAATTTTATGGTTAAGATTTTATACTTGATAGTTTTATATTTAATATGCAAACTTATGCACTAAATAATATAAATAATAAAAAATATTTGAAGTATTATTATTTTAGTAAAATCTTACGATTTTGGTTGCGAATTGCGATCTTAAGTTTTATGATCTTGTTATCCACATTTGATCTTATAAAATTAATTGAGAAAGATCTTTCTATCTTAATTATGATTTTATATTTTACGATTTTAATGTTCCATCCTGATCTTATGTAAGATCTCGATTCTGACAACATTTGTCTTCAGGGCACTGGTTAAGAGATTAAAAAGAAAAGTTAAACATTATTTAAGAGATTAAAAATACATGGTTTTTCAAAAAATATGTGCGTTCAATGCACTAGAACAGAAATAATTAACTTTTTAAAAAAAATATTGTGTCTATTTAATGTTAGGAACCTATAATATTTTCTTTATTTGGAATCCTTAACCAGTACCTCTGGGCCACTGGTTAGCATGACCCTTAATTTATTTCAAAGTTATAAAAAACTATACAGTAATATATATGCCGGAAGAAAATTTTGTGGGTCAAGTGCCCTATAACTTTGACTGTATATTCGTCCCTTAGATTGGGTTAATTGGAAGCACAAGGTTAGCACTAGGGTGGCAAAACGGATCCAGCCTGTTGGGCATACCCGTTTTACCCGCACTATAGTGCGGAGTGGACCATGGGTTTAGACCATCATCCTCTAATGTGTCTGCCCAATCCCGCTTTATTTTTTTCGCAGACTTTTGCGGACACAGACATTTATATAAATTTTTGTGTTTTAAGACTTAAAAGGTGCAGTGTTTTGGGGATTTCCCTGCCCCGTTCTCATTTTTTTGCGGGATGTGTCTAGGTTTTAGGTCTGCATCCTCAATGGTATCTGCCTCATATTTTGCAGGTTTTTGCGGACAGACCTAAATAAGGCGGGCATGCTCGTTTGTCACCCCTAGTTAGCACATAACGATAATAAAATTAATATTAGGGTTGTGAGTAGATGTAGGGGTGCGAAGATAATAGAATTAATATTGGGGTTGTGACTGGGGGTGTAGGGAGCGAAGCTTCTTCAATACAATTTAAGGGTATTATTGTAATTTGAATATATATATATATATATATATATATATATATATATATATATATATATATATATATATATATATATATATATATATATATATATATATATATATATATATATATATATATAATGAAACCCTAAAGTGTAATTTAGAACAAATCAATAAGACTGAATTATAATTGCTCTATAGTCACAGACATATGCAATTTGATCGAACTGCGAGGGTTCTACTTGAGACACTAATACAAATATAATTCCAAATTTACTAACTTAAGATCAATTACTTACTCTTTTTTATATCACCTACGACGTTCTCCCTTAGATGATCTTTAGCGATTCTCCATTCTTTAGGTAAAATTGACTTTTTAGAGGCATATATCTTCTTCATTTTCCTTTTCTTCAATTTTCTCTTATTTGGGTGGGTGGGGTACCTCAATTGGTAATTACAAGTTGGGTTAGAGAGTTGCAAGCTGTATGTATAGAGCTTTAGTATCAAATTTTCTAAAATTGTCACTTTTCAAATGTTTGTCAAATGGGGGAAGGGGGATCCTCAAGTGATAAGGGAACTGTTTGCGGTGATGACATTGTTTGTCTATTCAGAGATTGTAAGATAATTTTGACAGTTTCGTTAATGATAGATCGACCCATCTTAACCGCATGCGTCGTTGTTATCCTTCTTCCTTTATTCACCATTAGATCTGTTGAGTGATATTGTAAAAATGTTAGAGTTATTTTCCACATACAATACTAAATGTTTTGGTATGGGCATTGCTCATTCACACAAAAGGAGTGAATAAAAATATAATAATTCTGGTGTTCTTCAAACTCCAGTCAATCAACGAGGTAACTACAAATAATCTGATGCTTAAATCAGGGATGATTGTGAGAGATTTTCAAATTAAATGTGTATATGAATACGAGACTTTCACTATTTTTTTTAGTAGACTTCTAAAATTTTCTGATGTTTGTCTCAATTGTAAGAGAGAATATGTATTAAGGGATCCCTAAAAACCGACCACACGTCCTCTTCCAACTCACAATAATATTTCATGTTACTTTAATAATATTTCATGTTACTTTTTCTTTATTTTACGTTTTTCTCCTCATCAAAATAATATCTCATTTTACTTTTTCTTCTTCATTTTACATTTTTCTCCTCATCACAATAATATCTCATTTTACTTTTTCTTCTTCATTTTACATTTTACTCATCGTCACAATAATATCTCATTTCAATATAAATATTTATGGTTCATTTTGATAGAGATAAATACTATGTAATACTCTCTTTCTATCTCTTCATGATTAATAAATACTTTTTCTTCCTCATCATAGTAGTATCTTTCACTCTTAAAAGTTTATCGTTCATTTTGACATTAAAAAGCAAAAAAAACATAGACACCTTATATTTCAATATCCAAAATACTTTATACACATGTGTTTGTTTGTGTCCAAAGAAAAAAGAAAAAAGAAAAAATTATTAAACATAATGAAAAAACAAAACTGCATATTTATACGGTGTATGTGTCATTAATATAAGAGCAATATTTCTCTTTTAACAAAAGATAAATACTGTGTAGTGTTCTTTCTCTATCTATTCATGTTAGTAAATATAAATATTTTTGGGACTTGGCTGTGTAGTGTTCTTTTTCTATCTCTTCATGATTAATAAATACAATTATTTTTGGGACTTGGCTGGCTCACAGTACTTTGATGTCTCTAATGAAATTTGAGATGAGATACTTTAAAAATTAGAAACTATCAATTTTTTTAATTAAAAATAGAATAAGCTATCAACTTTGTCTCTTAAATGTATTTCCTAAAATTATAAAATTATCTGTATACAAAAGCTGCAAACTTAATCATTAAAATATATGAAGATTCATCATGTTAGTTTCTAACATCTTAACAACATATATATTAAACTCACAAGTTTTATATACTTTGGAAACTACTTATTATACTTATATACTTTATAAAAAGTATCACTTTGACATCAAGAACCAAAACTAAAATAGAAATTAGTTGTAGTAATCCTTGACGGTGGCTGAACCTCAGATGAGACACAAGGATTCTGAAACCTTGCTCTACATACCAACATGAATTAACATTTCTCTCTTTCCAAGTATTGGGATACATTAGAGGTATATTCTTCTCTCTCAACAAGTATTTGTATACACGAGAGGTATAGTCTAATGAGAGTTATATTCCAAGTACTGTGATTCTATCAAACCAAATCTGATTACAATAAATAATAGTATACCAATAAAAACAACCATAATTCATAACATTTCTTAAGAGAAGTGATTAAGGACAAGGCATTTGATAGCATAATAAAGTTTATACTCATATTGGTTCAACTACAAACATAACTATTTACTAATAGAACATCCAACAAATACAATTTCTGCATGCAAAGGCTGGAGTATAGTAGTTCAGCCTTCATTCTTTCAGAGCATGTCTCTCTCTTGCCCTCTATATTGCAATGTCCCCTTGTTAGCGAAATATACTTCATCTTGTATTTTCTTTGCGTCGGACATACCTTGTTCTATCATTGTATCTTGGTCTGTCTTGATGTCTCTGTGGTTGTGGCTCCACCCTTCTCTGTCTTTCAGGTGACCTCTGGACGATCTCTCCATTCACAAATAACTCAGCTATACATAAGAATATAAATATCATAACCTTAGTCATGCAATCAGAAAAACGAAGCCAACTGGTTTTTTATATATACTGAAGTAACTATGGTATGGATTGCAGATAAACAACATATGAATGGTATCAGAAATGAAGAGTATAATATAATAAATTATGAGGTTTACATTTGTATTGGGACTTCTGACTTCTCAAACCAGAGAAACACTATTGGCCTATTGAAGAAGTGATTGTGAGTGTATGTCAAATGATGTATCGAGTTAAATGGTTCTACAGCTACACCATTTATGATGCAACAAAACAAGAGAGAGAAAAATTATGCAAGTCCATTAACATTCAAAGCTAGACATTACTCGGCAAGAGCAATTAGCTTTGGCCAAGCCGGGCTACTAAATATAGAAGAACGGTAGAAAGAGCTGTGCCATCGTTACCCTCTTGTAGTAATCACGCAAGATCTATTTATTTACAACTGAATGCAAGCCACCAGTATTATTAAATGATAATGGAACAGAGAAAGCCTTGAAATCAAGTACAGTATGGACTAAAGATAAGAACAACTGAAATAACATTACTGAAGATGAACATAATGTTGAACTGAGAAATTTGTACGAGGAAAATATTGGAATTCTCATTTTTCAAGCAGAAAATAGAACTACATATGTAATGAAAGATTGATCGGAGGGTAATGTAATCTGGTTTGATGTTTCATGTGTCAACTCTGATTTTCTGCAACTATGTTACTGATGAAGCAACAAAACAAGAAAGGGGAAAAAATATGAGGCAACTAAATTAATATAAAATAACAAATTGACATTGAACGATTGGATGATAAATACACACTCAACTGAACTCTTGTACCAGAGTGTTCACCAAATACTTATTAGTCCATTAGCACACAACGACAATTGTGAATTAAAATCTTTCTAGTTGTAACATTCACACTACTTTCCCAAACCATATGCACATGACACCAAATAGTCTTTTACTTCAAAAAGAATCCCATCTCCCAGCTTGAAATCTTAGACATGTAAAAGATATAACCAAACTTAATATCGTAGTATTGCAGAAGAAAAAAAAAGTTGATATGCACATATAAAAGTTAAGAGGAAAGTGAACCAAAAGCTCAATAATTAAACCAAGGCATCATTAGATTCTCACCACCATAGTCCTTGTTTTCGGGATCAACATATGAATCTGGGAGAACAAACAGAACTCCGGGCAACCCTAATCAAAGAAAAGCAAATCTGTCAAACACAAACTGCAACAAAAAGTAAGTAGAAACAATAATCACACAAACACTTTCAACACAGACCTTCCAGCTGATTAGATGTCTCCTCATCAATTTCACATCCAAATCCAAAGTACCTCTCACAGGAAACATTGTAAATCTTCTTTTTAGCTTCCTCTTCACTGAAAACAGATGAGAAAAATTCAACTAAAACAACAATACTAACAAGTAACAACAACAACAACAACAACCATTGTAAAAGAGAATCAAATCCTAAAATCTTAAAACAAAAAGAAAATAGAACAAAAACATTGAGAAGAACAAAAGAAGGAGAGAAATTGAACCTTCCAAGGACCTTAGCGAGGGTTTGAATGTAGCAATCAATCATTTGCTGTTTAGTGGCTCCTGCACCGCCAGGCTTATCCATAACAATAAGCCAGTGTTCATAGTCACAACCAGGGAAGAGTGGGGCCATGTCCGTGGGTGGCCGCTCGCTTAAATTCGAATTCCCTGAATTCAGTGGGGAGTAGGTCGAATTTCCGGCACGGTTGACTCGGCATCGGACGGTGGTGAAACGGGAGGAAGAGGATGGAGATGCTTGAGAGGGGAGGCGGGCGGAGAAGGAAAGGAGACGGTTAGGGAGGAGGAAAGAGGAGGGGAGGGTAGAGAGAGAAAGAAGTCTTGCCATGTTTCCCGTCGTGCACAGAGCAAAAGCAAAGAAGAAGATGAGGTTTACTGGATTAGGGTTTTGAGAAATGAAAAATATAAATAAAAAAAATCTCACTTCTTGTTATGTTAAATATGATAAGTGGTTACTAAATATACATAGTCTCAATTTGATTTTAGTCTTACAATTAAGATAATGGAAAGACTAAACTAACCAATTTTTATATATTTTTTATATTAAAGTAATAAATTTCAAATAATTTAAAAAGTATTTATTGTATTTATATAATTTAAATTTTAAATTGAAGAGATAAAGATAGTCTAAAAAATAAGTTAGTTATTTATTCTTTTCATCCTCTATCTAATTAAGAATAGAAATTACTTACGCACTACTTAATTTACCTTTCTATTAAAAATTAATCTAGAGTAAACCATACCTTTATTTGTAATTGACTAATACAAATATTTCGGCCAATGAAAACAACTCAAATTGTCAAATGGTGTACTAAATGTTGCTTATTTTCACTCAAGAAATTTTCAAATCTATCTCATTCTCTTCTTCACGCCACTTTTTTTCTCTCATCTCAACTTCAAATCTCATTTCTCTCTCTTATTTTCTCTCTTCTCGTCTCTCTTTTTTCTTGAAACCCTAGCGTTGCCCCTTTCTCAATTTTGTCTCCGGCTACCACTTCCTCAAATGAAAATACCAAATCCATATTTGTATTTCTCATCTTCGGGACTTCCTAATAAACCAGATAGATTATTGTTTTGAGCGATCTCGTCGTCCAAATGGATGTTGAGGCTGATTATTGTTTCCTGGTAAGCTATTGTTGTTTTGAGGCTGATTATGAAATAGGTGTGTGCAAGTTTTTAAGTATGTGATTCACTAGGTGAAGGAACTAGATCTGGAATGGGTACCTTACTTCATCGTTATCTCTCTGTTTGTAATGTTATATTTCATTCCATTTTACGTGAAACTAATTGATTATGCTTGTATTTATGTTTGTGTATTATGGTTTCGTCTCATTTGTTTTTCATATTTTCAGTTTATTTAATTATTAGAATTGTAGATCTATTTTAAGGATTATTAATTTGTGAATTGTTATTTGATAGGTGGATAAAAAATAGGTAGTTCATTGCTAAAACAAATGGAGATATGAGTATATGATTATTTTAGGTAAGTTATTCTTCTTTCGCTTGTCTATCATATTGTTCTGACAATAGGGCTTTTCATTTGTATATCATCACTTGTATATTATTAATGATATATTGCTGGTTTAACTCTACATTCAGTGGTTGAGATAATGATTTTTCTGTTGACTTTGTTCGATCTTTGATTTTTTTCCCTTTTTGCAAATCTAACATTAATGATTTTGGTTTGTACAGACTTAGAGTAAGTTAAGGACTGATTTTTTGATATCGATTGTTGGGTTTCTTCAATATGGCGTTCTCTCCTACTAAAAAAATCACGGTCCTGATAAGATCATCGTTAACCATGAAACAGAGAAAGGTTCGAAGGCTATTGGTGAAGAATCTATTTGGAGGACCAATCGCAATCGCAATTGTTATCCCTATCAAAACTGTCGAAAACCCTTTGGTCCAATCCATCTCTCTGGTTATTTGATTAATTCGTCTATTTTAGAATTCAATTTTGTTTGAGTCGGTATTCACAATTATTTGAATTTTGATTTTAACAACCTGTGATTTTTGATATGTTAGGTTCACGGGAATAAAGAGACTCCACTTGAGAGCAGAGTCACGTGAAGATCGTGTGGCGTGGATGAAAGCTTTGCAAGCTATGAGAGATATGTTTCCTCGAATTTCCAACAGTGAATTGATGTCTCCTGTCGACAACGTAACAATTTCAACTGAGAAATTGGCCTCTAGAAGAAGGAGTGGGTGAAACATATATTCAAGACAGTGAACAAATTATGAGAATTGAATTTTGAGCCTTACAAAATCTTTGCTTAAGCAGAAACGCTCCATTCTCATTGACACCTTACGCCACTTAGAGGTGCATCATCTAATTCAAAGTTGAAAACTTCAACTAGGTGTCTTAAGGGAAATCTGTTTTGGCCTGGGCCCCGGGCTGACTATGCTGGCCCAGCCCAATAATGTTCCACCAGGCCCTATCCAGTCCGGGTACCGCGTCGGGCACGAGATCCCCGACACGCAAGAAAGATCTCCCTGCGAGGAAGACCTATCCCAACTACGTCGGGCAAGAGACTCGCCCGCATGACCAAACACCGCCCTCCGCGGGCAGTATTCCCCATGCCATCGAGCAGGACACCATGGCTTTCCCACGCCCATGTGTGCTCCCCTCTGCGGGGAGAACAACGTGGTTCCGGGAAACCTCGCGAGCTCCCCTCCGCGGGGAGAACAACGTGCCATGCGCACGTTCTCCATGTGCTCCCCTCTGCGGGGACACGTCATCCACCAACCGCCCACCTCCGAAAGAGCAGGTCAACCCACTCTCCGGAGTTCACGGAGCAGTTGAACTAGGGCGAAGACCACGTCTGGTCTTCACTATGCCACGTAAGCCCTAGCAGTCACCTGGGTTGGGTCTGGCAACCCAGCCCAACACAAGTGACCGTTGGCTCAGCGTTGGGGTCTCCCTATAAATACCCTCTTCCTCAAGAGGGTCAGGTAATTCACTTCTTACCCATTTTTCTGTACTTTGCTCTCACTCTGCCCAATTCCTTACTTTGGCATCGGAGTGTCTTGCAGGTACACCCCCTTTCTACTCCTCATCACCGATGAACAGGTAGCAGTCCAACAAAGTGTGGCCAGCCCGTGATCTCCTTCTGATCAGGTCAGATCAGTGGCGCCGTCTATGGGAACAGAAACTTCCCCGTTACTCCAAGAAGAAAACCAAAGTTTCACCAACACTCCACGATCATGGCTAGCCTACACCACGACGATACCATGCACGACTTCGTGCTCGACGCTGCCGCCAACGGCAGCAAGCAGATGAAGACGTCACGCCCGGCGGAGACCGACGAGAGAGACGGCAAGACTGCTTCTCCGTCGTCCGCAGAACTGCTACGCCAGGCCGACCCCCGACCCCCGAGCCCAGCGGCGTTCCAACCCATTCCTATCCCGGCGGGAGCGGATCCAACGGTGGCCGCCCTCTTTGCGGCCATCAACCAGACGAACCGGTTGTTGTTTCAGCAGAACACACGAATTGGAACGCTGGAGCGGGAGGTCCCCCCAAGGTCCCCTCCGCGGGAAGACTGGATCGAGGGCTCGAGGAGTCCCTCGGCTCAACCCAGAAATCGACGACCTCGGCTGGAGAGGCCCCAAACCGAAGTAGTACGGGAACGCACCAGATCCCCGACAAGACAAGTTCGAGGGAGGTGGCAGAACGCCTCGGCAATTCCGACCAGGAATCCGCGTGTCGAACCCCCGGTTAGAACGCCGAGGATCCGAAACCAGATGCCTATCCTACACGACCCACCTTCTCCTCGGTCACCCGCTCTCAGCGACGAAGACGACTATCGGACTCCCTTATCCCAGGAAATCATGGCCGCCCCATTCCCCACGGGATGGAGAAGCCCCTGATGCTCTCGACGTATGATGGCACATCCGACCCAGATGATCACCTGGAAGACATCGAGGCCATGCTCGATTACCGAAACGTCCGAGGAGCTATCAAGTGCAGGCTATTCCCGACGACCCTAAGGAAAGGTGCCATGACATGGTACAAAAGTCTGGAGCCCGAATCGATTACATCGTGGAGGGTCCTAAAGGACCTGTTTTCAGAACACTTCACAACGTCCCGACGCCACCCGAAGACTGAGGTTGTCCTCGGCGCGATAATCCAAGTCCCCGATGAGCCTCTCCGAAAGTACATCGAAAGATTCACCCGGGAAGCGGTGCAGGTAACGACATCAGACGAGATGAAGCGTTACCTAATGGAGCAGGGTCTATGCCACGACTCCAAGTTCTACGAGGCCGTGGGCATACACCGGCCAACCTCCCTGCAGGATTTCCTCGACAGAGCCGCACATTATATCTGGTTCGAGGAAACTCAAGCAGCCAACTCCGCACAAGACACCCGAGACAGGGAGGCCCCCCGTGGGCACCGAGATGACGGAGCCTCGAGTCAGCGGAGGGGAGGGGACCGCCGTCGGGAAGATCGCCCTCGCGAACAACACGGCCCCGCCGGCCGGTTCACGGAATACACGACCCTAGTCGCTTCCCACGAGCGCATATTGGTCGAGTGCACAAAAACCAAATTCGCCCAGGGTGGTGTCCGCTTCCCCAGGCCGACACCCCCCAAACCCAATGTGGACAAATCGAAATACTGCCGATTCCACAGGAGCCACGGGCACGTGACCGAAGAACGCATCCATCTCAAGGACGCGATTGAAATCCTGATTAAGGACGGCCACCTAAAGAGATACACCCGGGGGTGAGGCCCCGAGACAAGAAGCCCTTGAGGCCAAGAAAGTCGAAGAGCTCCCCTCCTCCGACGGCGACAACAGACTCCAGGTCGCCCTGTGTGTCAGCCGCCACGAGGACTGGTTCGCGGACAGAAAGTTCGGCCTCCCCGAAGGCCCCGACCTACCCGACGAGCCGGTACGGCCAACCAGCCGGTGGGAATACTTTCCTAGAGCCATGGTCATCTCGGGCGGCGCCACAAGAAGCCTATCCATATGATCGGTGAAAAGAAAGTTCGATGAGCTTATCACGAGCAACTCCGGCAAGATGAGCACGCTCGAAAGATTTCGCGGTTGATCTAATCCGATCACATTCTACCTCGAGGAACTCCCCGGGGGATCCCCCAACTCCAACATCCCCCTGCTCATACAGGCACGAATGGCGAACTTCGACGTCAGGCGCATCCTCGTCGACAGAGGCAGCTCGGTGGACATCATGTACACCCACCTATTCACAACCCTCCAACTCGACGAATCTAACATGTCCCCCTACGTAGGCTTCGACCTTCAGGGGTTCAACGGGACGACGACGAGATCTTGGGGGTACGTGGAGCTGAAAGTCACTTTCGGGAAAGAGGAA